GTGCTATTTTCTTGGGCTTAATTTTTTTTTTTTTTGGCAATGGTGGAGATTCAACCCAGGGCCAGGCTAATGCTAGGAAAGCATGCTACCATTAAGCCATGTCCCTAACCCTCCTTGGGCTTGTCTTCATTTTACACATTTAAAAAATGCTTTTAAAAAATCAACAGGCAGGGCTGGGGATGTGGCTCAAGTGGTGGCGTGCTCGCCTGGCATGCATGCGGCCCGGGTTCGATCCTCAGCACCACATACAAACAAAGATGTTGTGTCCACAGAAAACTAAAAAAATAAATATTAAATTAAAAAAATCACCAGGCAGTGGCTGGGGATGTAGCTCAGTGGTACAACACTGACCTAGTATAAACAAAGCCTTGGATTTGATCCCCAGTATACAAGGAAACAAATCACTGTGTATTACTGGTATATTTTTAAATGCTTGAAATGAAAAGGAAAAAAAAATCCTTCTAATTTTATAAAATTTACCATATATTACTCATGCATTTATAGAAAAAAATGTTTGTGGGTCTGAGGTTGTAGCTCTGTGGTAGAACATGTGATTTACATGTGTGGGCGCTGGGTTCAACCTCCAACATAAATAAATAAATAAAGTGACAAAAAATGTGATAAATAAAAAATAAATACACAAATCAACTTAAGGTGTGGGGGTGTAGCTTGATAGTAGATCACTTGCCTACTGTGCACAGGCCCTAGTTTTAATCTCCAGCACCAAAAAAAAAAAAAAATTGAAATGAAAAGGAGAGCAAAACGGAAATGCAGTAGTTTGCTGTATCAGGGCCTGGCCCTCTCTGGAAAGCTGGTCTAGAAGGGCTCCAAGGGAAGATGATTCTAGGAGAAATCCCAGTGCAAACACCCAGAAGACCATTGTGAGCAGCAGACATGATTAACAGACCTCTGAGAACCTCCCACTCCATCCTTCCTGACTTAGCACTCCCACATTATCAAAGTGAGTATTGCACAAAGGTGGCAGCAGCCCCAGGGTGAGCACCAGCTCAGGGCGTGGGGAACTGCAGGGGGTATTGACCAGCAATCTCCTGGTGAGCACTGGTACAGGTTTGGAAAGGGTCCACCAAAATCTCATGTCCACCTGGAGTTCCAAAATATGAGCTGATTTGGAAATGATGTCTTGGCAGATGTAATTAGTTAAAATGAGGCCACTGTGGAGTAGACCCAGGCCAGCTGCTGGAGGTCAGAGGCTGCTTTCCTCTTCCTGGAATATCATATGGTCAGGACTTGAAGATGACACCTGAGAAAGTGGTTAAGTGGAAAGAAAAGGGAGGAGAGTCTCTGGCCCAGGTAAGTGGTCGAGACAGAGGTTTATTAGCATGAAGTGTAATGTTGGCCGGAATTGTGCCTCAGTGGTAGAGCACTTGACTCCCAAGTGTGAGACACTGGGTAAGATTGTAGTACAACATGAAAACAAATAAAGGCATTGAGTTCATACACAACTATATATATGGAGAGAGAGTGGCAGTGAGAGTGAGAGTGAGAGAGAGTGAAGGAGAGAAAGTAAGAGTGAGAGTGAGTGAAAATGAGAGAGTGAGAGAGTGAGAGTGTTAGAGAAAGTGAGAGAGAGACAGAGGGAGTGAGAGAGAGAATGAGAGAGTGAGATAGTGAGAAACAGTGAGAGTGAGACTGAGAGAGAGTGAGTGAGAGAGAGAGTGAGAAAGAGTGAGAGAGAATGAGAGAGAGGGTGAGAGTGTTAGAGAGAGACAGTGAGAGACAGAGTGAGAGTGTTAGAGAGCGAGAGAGTGAGAGTGAGAGAGTGAGTGAGAAAGAGTGAGATAATGAGAGAGAGAGAGAGAGAGAGAGAGAAAGAGAGATTGATTTATGTCATTGGTTAGAGCATCCTGAAGGAATCCATTTTCCAAGGAAAGAAAATGGGGGAAACTGTTATCGGGAAGAGGCCACTACTATGGTCCAGGACCAGGTTTAGGGTGTCAGCTGCTTGGCTGGGGGCTGCCCCTGTTCTTGTTCAGCTTCCTCCTTTGCTCTGGCTGGGGCTGTCTGTGGACCTGCACATGGTGCAGGTGGGAGTTTCTCCTGGGTGCTGTGCACATGGCTGCTGCTGGAGCCTCTCACAGCTTTCATGGAATGTGTGTGTGTGTGTGTGTGTGTGTGTGTCCATCTCTCCAGCATCTTGTGTTTACTACTTGCTGAGTGTCAAGTGCCTTGTCACAGTCTGAAAGCTGCCTCTGCCTGGGCTTCCACACAGGTGTGTGACATTCACACAAATGCTTGGCCCTCTATTGCCCTTTGAGGAAATCCCAGAGCCTGTGAAGCACCTTGTGATGACACCTAAAGCAAAGGGGATTAACTTTGGCACAAGCTGAGAGACAAGGACTGCAAAACTTGGTAAGGGTTGGGGTGGGGTGAAAAGATTTGTAAAAATGGGGTTCCTGTGCAAGGATCCCAGGGGAAATATTGTAACTGTCCCGACTTTGGGTTGCCTGGGTAGATGGAACTGCCCTAATGCACTTTCATTTTTTTGCTTTTTTATGAAAGGATTTTTGGCTGGTTTCTGTATTGCTGAAAAGAAATGGGGTATTTTAAATCACTTCCATGACCGTACATGCTCACGTTTCTGTACCAGTATAAGTTATTTATTTATTTATTTTGGTACTGGGGTTTTAACTCAGGGGTGTTTAACCACCGAACCACATCCCCAGCCCAAGGGTATTTCTTTTTGTATAAATCAGAGACAGAACTCATGATATGGATAGATGGATAGATAGGTAGAGTGGGAAGAGAGAGAGAGAGGGGGAGAGAGAGAGAGAGAGAGAGAGAGAGAGAGAGATAGAGAGTGAGAGAGAGAGAGAGATGAGAGGGGATTTTTTTGGTGGAATTGGCTCATGTGATTTTTGGAGGCACAGTGTCCTGCAACAAGCTGTCTTTGGGCTGGAGACCCTGGGATGCTGGTAGTGTGGCTCAGTCCAACTACAAAGGTCTTAAAACCAGGGAAGCCAGTGATGTAATTCTCAGTCTGAGGTGAAGGCCTGAGAGCCTGCGGTTCTGCTGGTGTAAGCCCTGGGATCCCATAGCCAGAGAGTTCTGCTGTCCAAGGCTGCAGGAGGAGAGTGTTTTCGGCTCCAGCAGAGAGACAAAAACCTTTTTCTCTGTTTCTGCTCTGTCTGGGCCCCCAGTCAATTGCATGGTTCCACGTGGAGGGTGGAACTTCCCCAGTCAATTGCCAGGTGCCCACCCACATGGAGGGTGGACTTCCCCACCTCTTCCACTTTGACTCACAGGCCATCTCCTCTGAAAGCGTGGAGACACACACCCACAGATATGCTTTCCCACTTCTCTAGGTATTCCTTCATCCAGCCACACAGACACTAAAATTAAACATCTCCCCTCTGTGTGACGTGATCTTCTCCTTGTAGGGTGGACATATTTCCAGTCCTCCTTCCAGACTCACTTTGTCTCCCTTCCTCATGAAATTTTCCTTGTATTTTTCCCTCTCTCAGTCCAAATTAGGTCCCTTTCTGCTGTCCTGTGATGCTCTGTGCTGATTTCTACAATCCTCACCTCTCTGAGTGCAGAGGTGTGTGTGAGGAAATTGCTCCACCACTGAGCTACATCCCCACCCTGTTATCTTTCCCTGTATATCCAACTTGTAAAGACATTTTCAATCTGTTTTCCAGTGGTCAAATCCCTTTACATTCTCACCTGTTAAGTTTTCATTTCATAATGTGTGAGATTTCTAGTTCCTCCAGTTGGGATTCCTACTTTCTGCTGTTAAGTTTTCAGCCTTTTATTTGTTTTTGCAGAATCACAATAAATAAAGGCTGTTTGCAATTACATAAAACTAATGAAGCTTGCACTGATCTTTTAAAATGTGAAATAAAAGCTTAAAATCACCTATAATCAGAACACCCTAATTATTTTTCAAAAAATATCACACATGTGCACAAAACTGCAGACACCTGACTTTAGGAGATACCATTAAAAACAAATAGTCTACTGTTGGGCCAATGGGTACTGGGATGAACCCACAGCCTTATGTGTGCTAAGCAAGGGCTCTCCCACAGTCACACCCCCAGTCCCTGGGTTGTTTCTGTTTTTAAATAAACATTTTCATTTATAAGCATCTGTAAAAATAACAGATCCTGTGTACCTTTTACTCATTTTTGCCCAGAGGTAATATCTTGAAAAATTATAGTTCAATATTACCAAGGATGACACTGATACAGTCAGGATGCAGAGCATCTCCATCTCTATCCCTTCAGGGTCAAATTCAATGGCAGTGAGTCTTCAGGCAGCCAGTAGGAGGCACAGGATCATTTGCAGAGGCGCATAGCCATTGTGTTGCCACCCTACGGCCGCTAGAGGTTGCCAAGTCGCCATTTACTGAAGCTGGAGGGATTCTGCAACAGCACATTGCTTCAACAGATGAAACAAAGAATGGATTACAAAATATATAATGATTTACCTTGTCCGATTCCAAACTGCATGAATGTCACCATATCAAATCGGAGGGATGACTTTTCAGTTTTCAGTAATAGGGCTCATGCATACTTCCAAACAGGAAAGGCATAAAAGAACATCCATAATAACTGTTAGTAACCAGCAATGTTCCCAAGTAAAGGTGATCAGTCAGGAAGCAAGGACTTTTAACGTTTAAAATAGTGGAGTCCAATGCTATCCTCCCATCATTTCAGAGCTGCAACAATGAGACACCTTCAGTCCTCAATCATGTATTTCTGACTTTTTGATAATGCACCAAGGATGCCAGCTTGGGTAGGGAGTGCCGGGAGAGGGGACCTTGACTTAGGATGAGTGCGATCCTTGATGTATGTGATGGAGAAGTACTTCAACCTTGATTAGCCTTGACCAGCCTTCAAGCTCCTAGAGTATTTGCTTTTAAAAATGCATGAGACATAGATGTGTCACAGAGCACCAATAAAGATAAGGTGTTTCAAAAAAGATAAGGTTCCTGAAATACTGAATTGTGATTGAGAAGGACCTGCTTGCCTCTGGAGGAATGAGCTTCCTGAGCTGAGGTTCATCATGGAAGCTTTGACAGGTCCTCAATTTGTGAAGGCAGAGAGAGCCCATGGAGGCTTATTCTGACCTGAATATTCTGTGTGCAAGAATCACAAACCCTGTTCCCCTTCCTCATCATCTCAGCCCCTTCACACACTCAGGTCTCTTTCCAGAGGCAGAGGGTCCCCTGGACAAGAAAGAATAGAAAGGACAAGAGACACCTGTCCTCTGACACTCAGGAAGACACCACAGCTCTCTGGCTGCGGGTTCTGGTGTTTTCCTAACGGATCTACCAACCAGGGCCAGGTCAAAGTTCAACTCTCTCTAGATTTCACCACTAAAGACTTGGTGAGATAAATCATGGGAAATAACTCAACATTTAAATACTGATTAGGGCTGGGGCTGGAGCTCAGTGGTAGAGCGCTGGCCCAGCATGTGGGATGTTCGGAGTTTCATTTTCTGCACCGCATATAAATAAATTAAAGATCCATTGACAACTAAAAAATATATTTTTTTAAAAATTTAAATACAGATTAAATGTAAAATAACCCTGGACCTTTAGTAGCCCCTGGTCCTGTTCTTTAAGCCTCAAGTGGACTTTCTTTTATAGCTTTAATCCACTGATAATCAGACTTCTATTTCAAACCATGAGTGAATACACACACGTGCACACACAGAAATATAGATTTTGCACGATCTCATTTGTATGTGGAATCTTAAGTAGTCGAACTCATAGAAGTAAGGAGTCAATGGTGGGTGGTAGGATCTTGAGGAGAGATAAATGAAGTGATTGATGTTGGTCATAGGGTATAAAAGTTTAGTTATGCAAGATAAATAATTTCTGGAGATCTAATGGTAGCTATAGTTGAGAGTATCAGATATTTGAAATTTGGCAAGAGGGTAGGTCTTGAATACTCTAACCACACCAAGGAAGAAAATGGTGACTATAAGAGGTGTTAGGTACGCAATTTAGCTTGTTTGTGATCATTTCTGTAGTATGCATGCATCAAAACATCAGGTGGACTGCCTTCGACATACACAAGGTTCATTTGACATTTATACCTCCACAAAGATGTTTGAAGAACAAAATAGTAACCAAGAGCCTGTAGCATATGGACATGTGTGAGAGGAAGGAAGCAAGCCCAACCATTCTCAGGGAATGGATGCCATGCCCCTGGAGAAGGTCCCTCGAGTTCGGGGAGAGGGGACCTTGACTTAGGATGAGTGGGATCCTTGATGTATGTGATGGAGAAGTATTTCAGCATGTGGCAGAGACACTGAAGATTTCTTTGGGAAATCAGAGAAACAATTGAGGGAGAAGTGGGCTGTCTTCAAGATATCAAGAGCCTTTAGGACAGAGCCAGGAATAAACATTCAAGGGAGATTGTGACCATCTCAAGAGGGAGAGACAGCAATCTTTTGGTTTAGGATGTCAATATTCTTAGAGACACAGTAATAAGGCCTGGAATAGAGGTGGACTCAGGGAGAAGCTGTGCAATTTCCTGCAGTGTTTCTAGTGCTTGTGCATCATCCTCTTAATATGTTACTTTTTGTGGGCAAGGGTGGGGGCCAGGTGCTCAGGCTGTATTGTTCAGAATGCTTCTTTTGTATCTCAGTGGTGTTTTAGTTAGCTTTAAATTTTTTTTTTCTGCTGAGGCTAAAAAACCCAAGAAGAACAATTTTGAAGGTAGATAAGTTTATTTGAAGGCTCATGGTTTCAGAGGTCTCAATCCATAGAGAGCTGGCTCCATTCTCAGGGGTAGAGGTGAGGCAGAACATCATGGCAGATGAGTGTGGTAGAGGGAAGTGGCTCAAGACATCATACCAGGAAGCAGAGAGAGAGACTGAGGTCAGCTCACCAAATATATACTCCAAAGGCACGCTCCCAACTGTTGTAGGGACAGACGAGGCAAGGCCCTGAAGATAGCTGGAAACAGTTTTATTTGGCTGCAGCCAGGTTCAGAGGGCACAGCTTTTGCTGTAATCAATCAATCCCCTGAACCCCGAGTTCAGGGAGTTTCAGAGTTTTATACCCAGCATGTAAGGGGAGGGGCTCAGAAGTTCACACTCTGCAGAAGTTCATATAAAAGCAGCTTTTTCTTTCACCGTTCTGGGCAAGTTAACCCTTCAAGGACAACACCTGAGAAGGGGAGAGCTTCTTCTCCCCTTTCTTTCTTCCCCCTGCCAGCTGTTACCATGGAGCCCAATTGGTCACTTCTCTTATCATAAAAATGTAGACATCTCTGTGAAGCCCAGCTCAAGGTCAGAGACCTTGTTTACACATTTCTACAAACTACTATACTGGATATATTTGTGAAAAATTAGTAAGGGTGTGTCCTGTACCTGAAGTGCTGATAACTTCCTGGCCAGTGGCCAAGTAAAACAGGGCAACATGAAAATAGGAAGTTTATCTACATTGGACTCTTTTGCTGACAGTCCTAAAATCAGCCATGGTGAAGAGGGCTTTTCTGTGGAGAAAGGGGGTGCCACTTCACAACTAAGTGTTAGAATGGAACTGATACATGGATCCTTTTTGTAGATGCTTCATATTTCCCCAGGCTGAGTGGGGTTGGGCAGGGTGGTTCTTCAGGGTCCCCTGTGACTGTCTTCCTAGGATGATGCAGGTACACCCTGCTTGGTGCAGCCTGTCCTTGTGTTCATAGCATGTGTGTGTGACAGGTAGAATGTGCATGGAAACAGTGCCACAGTGCACATGCCCATAGCTTCCATCATTCCTGATGTGTGTAACCTTATTTGTCTCATCTCCCCAAAGCCAGAAAGTGTAATCAGCCTCTCTTAGCCCCATGAATGTGGAGGGAGGGGTGGGTCACCTAAGTGAATGTGAGGTGCTCTATTAGAATGGGCTTGGATGAGAGCCAGGTGAAGGCACCAGATCCTCAGAAACGGGCATGGCATCCTCAGCCCTGCCTCCTGATCAGACAGGAATGTTATTTCCCAGAGGAGGGAAGTGTCTGGCTTGAGTTTACACAGCGATTCAAGGAGAAGCTGAGTCCTCAGTTGGGATTAGATTTGTCCCCACACTAGAAATTCCACAACTTCCAGCATCGTAGGAGCATAGGAGAGTGGTGTGTGTGTGTGTGTGTGTGTGTGTGTGTGTGTGTGTGTTAGAGAGAGAGCAAGCAAGAGAGGGAGATAGGGATCTTCCTCATGCAGATTTAGAAACTGTTGAGAAAGGAATGAAAATAAGAGCCCTTCATTCTCAAATTCCTGGAACGTAAGCAAAACTCAGTCAATGGAGAAATTAGACTTAAGTGGCTTCCATATTAATATAGCAAGACAGGGCTGGGGTTGTGGCTCAGTGGTAGAGTTCTTGCCTAGCATGTGTGAGGCACTGGGTTCGATTCTCAGCACCACATTGACAACTTAAAAAAAATAAAATGTAGCAAGACAAAAATAAATGAACTCACATGGTTTAAATACCAAAAGGAACTGGCTGGAAGTAATTGATAAATAGGGAACATGTAGGTGACATTCATGCTTCACGTTATTAATGTTGCTATCAGCCAGGCAAAGGAATGGATTCAAGCTGTCCAGCTGCATTGGAGGGATTCCACAAACCTGGAGTGAGATCCAAATATGCAGAAAATTAAGTGTGATAAGATCCAATTTTTTTTCTTTTTTTTCCTGTCATCTGCTGTAACAAACATCTGAGATAAATCAATTCACAATGAGAGAAGGTTTAATTTGGTTCATGACTTCAGAGGTTTCAATCCATCATCTGTGGACCCTGTCTGTTTTCCATATATCGTGGCGGGAGTAAGTGGCAGAGGAAGCCTCTTGTATTGTCAGTCTAGGAAGCAAAAAAGGAAAGAGGCTTGAGTCATAAAATCTCCCTTCAATAGAATGTGCCTAGTCATTTGAATTTTTTCCAGTCACTACTCCCTCTTAGTGGTACCACCATGTCCTGCACGCACCTCATTCTGGTGACAAGACTGAGATGATTAAAACACTTGGGCCTTTGGGAGCACTTACCCAAACATTGGCACTATCCTCAGTGGCATCCACAGACCACCATGAGAAGAAGGCATCACTGCCAGACCCCTCTTTTAAAATAACGACAATTCCTAATGTGTTGTGTACATTTTTATTTAATTTTGTATGTTACACAGTGAGAAAAACAGTGGAATATTCATGAGATGCTGATGTTGAGGAGGGAGCAAACCAAGTGAGTCTGAGCCAAAGCCTGAGCTAAGACATATATCTTCTGTTTGTTAATTTCATTTGTGTGGTTCTTGCACAGTAATACCAGTTTCTTTCCATTTTTTGAGTGCACTTCTTGAGGATGACGGTACATTCATTTCATTGTTGTGATCCAGGGTACGGACAGACCAGTAGTGCCAACCAAAGCTGGTGGGAACAGCTCTGGCACTGCCCCTCCATCCTCCAGCCCTGCTTTCTGCCCCAGTGGGATGCCATTGTCTTAACAAAGTGGTTTCCTGGAAAGCAGGGCCTGTTTTTCATGGCTTCCTGACAGCAGGAAAGCCTGAGGTAAGAATTGGGGACCTCTACAGCATCTTTGGGGGAAGACTTCTTCTTGCTCCCTCTCCACTTCTGGGGTTACAAACCCTCAGCTTCTTGGACACAAGGCACTGTGATTGGCAGTAAAGAGAGAGGAAGAGGATCCGGGAATTCTGTCCTGCATTTCCTCAGAAAGTGCATCTGGGGCCAGTTCTGCCCATTTTGTGGCTCTCTCGAGGAGATTCTGTAATCAGTAGTCAGCTCTCTGTGGGCTCAGCTTCTGCATCCACAGATTCAACCCAACCCCAAACGAAAAATATTTGAAAACATATTTGTGTCAGTACTGAACGCATTTAGACATTTTTTGTCGTTATTCCATAATCAACATACACTTTGATAACAGTTTCAAAACATTTACATAAGTAACTTAAAGATGATTTAAAGTATTTGGAAGGAATATTGTGAATATGACATGCACATTCTTAATAAATTAAATAAATTCAATTTATTTAAGGGATTAGAGCATCTTGTGATTTTGATATTCAAGGGGGTTCTGCAGCCAACCCCCCTTGGATACTGAGGAGGGATAATGGGCATTGACTGATTGTTAAAAATCAGTGTCCCCTTGCTGCTCACTATTGGGCATTAAAGAGTTGGTGGCCAGGACCCCACCTGCTGGTTGCAGGGACTAGATGGTGTCCAGGAGGGATCCACCTACAACAGAAGTGATGTGCAGTAGGGAGAAGCCAAGTTCAGCATCCCCGTCCCCACTCCCTCTTACCCTCACTATCCTCAGTACAGGGAAGCCTGTCAGTCAGCCTCCTAGGTCACCAGATCCCACCACTGGTGTGTCATCTGAAGAGTGTATGTGAGGGAGCCCTAACCAGCTGGAGGGTGCTACAGAGGATCCAGATGTGGAGGAGACCTTTCAATGGGGGAATTAGAGTGGTCAACTAGGTAATGAGAAGTGCAGAATGGTGGTGGGGTGCATAGTGAGAGGGAAGGCTGGGTAGGAAGAAAGAGAAATCCAACCTACCTACATCCAGAGGCAAAGACCTGTGGAAGTACAGGTGTGCATCACATACCAATATTTCTGTCGGTGATGGGCTGTGCATAAGACAGTGATCCCCTAAGAATATATTGCCTGGTGACATCAGAGCCATCTAACCCTGTGTAAGTACACTCTATGGTGGTCTAAGAGGATGAAATCACCTAGTGATATATTTCTCATAGAGTCCACATTGTTAGGCCATGCCTGAACCTATGAAATTAGGAATGTCCTGCATTTCCCCAGAAGGTGCATCTGGGGCCAGTTCTGCCTATTTTGGGGCTCTCTCGAGGAGATTCTATAATCAGTAGTCAGCTCTCTGTGGGCTCAGCTTCTGCATCCACAGACTCAACCACGAGAAATTTATCCACGAGTCAATTTTCCAGCTGAGGATTGCCTTTTCAATCAGCTATTCTGAAAGAAATTTTATTTTGCAAATCTCTTTGGTTTTTATTACCTCATTAGGTTTCCATATTCACTGTGGAAGGGTTTTAACTGATGGGGAAGTCAGGCCCAGAGAAGATGTGATGAACCCAGCCTAATTCCATCTTAAGATTGGGAGCCATCTCGTCCCAAGGTCATGAAAAGTTCATTTCTGTTTTACTGTAAAATACTAAGATTTCTATTTGGCCTGATCACACTTTGATGTTTTAAACTTGCTTGGAGCTCCTGCCGGTGCTTTGAACTTACCCATGCCTGACTCTCCCTGACCAAATAACAATCCTCCTGAAATTCCAGCTGCTCCTCATTAATTTTGATGTTGGAATCTGAGTTTACTCCCTGCCTCGAGATATTAAGCCATGTAGAATATTAACCTACTACCTGCCCTTATATTCACGCTTGCCAGAACCCTGTCAGCTGTAAACTACCAAGATATCCACCTTTGTAACTTTTTGGGGTTATAAAAACCTCCCTGCTCTTAGACCAGATGCTGTCCTCTGGTCCTGCATTTGGGTGAGGCAGTTGCTGATCAGGTCTCCTGTGTATACAATATAAAATTGCTTTAATTTGGTTTAAAATTGGAGTCAATGGTCTTTTCTTTTGTCGTGGGTTCAACAGAGAACAGTGAAGCTTAATTCATTTCACTCCAGCTCCTGCCGCAAAATGAGCTTTGTAAATAAACTGTTTTGGAGTCTTGGGTGTCACTCAGTAGTAGGTCAATGTGCATGCATGAGTCTTGGGTTTGATGTCCAGCACACTTCATATAAACTATTTTAGAATCTGGTTTACATAAAAGTTGGAAAGACAGTAGAGTGCCCATATGTCCCAGAAACCCATCCAAGAGTCCCCATTGCAGTCAGCTGCCATGTCCCCTTAGGCTCCTCTTGGCTCTGACCTTCCTTGCTTTGAATGGCTTCACCGTTTTGAGGAGCAGTGATCAGGTATTTCATAGAGTGGCTCTCAGTTGAATTTGTCTGATATTTTTGTCATTATTGGTCTGGGGTAAGGGGTCTTGAGAAGGAAGACCACAGAGGGGATATGCGCTTCTCCCGTCACATGGAGGACATATAGGAGCCCCGTGACACATCACCTTAATGTTGACCCTGATCCCTGCATGAGGTCATGTGTGTCCAGTTTCTCCTTACTCTCCCTTCCCCCATCCATACTGTCTTCTCTGGAAGGAAGTCACTATTGCTGCTTGCATAGAAGGTGTTGGGGGTGATGCTTGCGGGAAGAGCATCTACATCAATTACAAAATAGTATGGCATATTAAAATAACTGGGCTGGGGGTGTTGCTCAGTGGTTGAGCACTTGCCTAACATATGCAAAGCCCTGGGTTCCATCCCCAGAATTCTGAAAGGAAAATAATATAATAACACTTGTTAGAAATTTAAAAAGCTTCAGGAGCATATAATTCACATGCCATAGAATTCACCCGTTTGAAGTGAATAATTCAATTTTTAAAAATTTTTGTTCAACCCCCATCATGATCTTCTTTTTCAATATTTTTATCTCCCCTTAAAGAAGCCCCAAACCCATTAGCGCTCACTCCCCATTCCTTGCCTCTCATGCCTCTCCAGGGTTTGGAAACCACTAATCTATTTTCCATCCCTATGAATTTGGACATTGCTTACAAGTGGGATCATTCAATATGTGAATGTGTGTCTGGTTTCTTTCACTCAGCATCTTGTTTTCCCATTTCATTCATGTTGGAGTGTGTGTCAGTCTGTCCTTCCTTTAATGGCTGAATATTTTTTTTTAATATTTATTTTTTAGTTTTCGGTGGACACAACATCTTTACTTTATTTTGATGTGGTGCTGAGGATCGAACCCAGCGCCCCGCGCATGCCAGGCGAGCGCGTTACCGCTTGAGCCACCTCCCCAGCCCAAATGGCTGAATATTAACCCATTGCGTGGCTGTGGCATGTTTTATCCTCCTGACAGCTTCCAATTTCTGGAGGGAATCTCAGGATCTCAACACAAGCTGTACTTATCTATTCTAATTCCAAGGGGCTTTTCTAACTCTCTCCAAGGCTCACCTCTTATGGATGCTTCTCAGTTTATGGCAGGTTACATCCAGCATATACTGGAAATGTCACAAGTCAGTGTGTGGCTCAGCTGCAGGGCTCTTGCCTAGCATTTGCGAGGCCCTGGGTCCCATCCCTAGCTCAAAAGAAAAAAAAAAAAACAATGAAAGGAAAACATTCTGAGTCAAAAATTCATTGAACACCCCTAATCCCTCAAACATCCCAGCTCAGCAACACAGCACACTGCGGAGTGAAGGATCACAGGCTGCCTGGGATGCTGCTCACTGGCACAGCCCAACATGGAGAGAGCAACTACCTCACCACATTTCACCAGTCCAGGACAAGATCTAAATTGGAAATTTGAAGCACAGTTTATTCTGAATATGTGTATCACTCTCATACGACCCTAAGTGGGATTGTCATAAGTTGGGACTGTCTGTTCAGCCTTGGAACCTGAATCCCCCTTTTGACTACTGATTCTCCTGCCAGTGACCTGAGTCCTTTGTCAGACTCTTGCAGCTCCCGCAAGCTGGCCTGGCTGCCTCAGATCAGGAATGAGGCCTGGGCTGCCTTCCTGTGTCTGCCTACCAAGTAGTCCTACCTTCTCCAAGTCTATGGGTCTCTCCTCCCTTCCGCTCTCTAAACAGAATGAAGAGAAATTGATCCCAAGTGGCAAATGATGGCTGACCCCCTTTTCTATTTCCTGCCTCTGTGCTTTTTGCTTTCTATTTCAAGGTCCCTTGCTGTCCCTTGCCTTTATACCTCCCACTCACCTCAGATGTGCTTCTCATAGGACCCTCTTCTGAGCTCCTCTAACATCCCACACATACCCCCATTACGACAACTTTCATTTTCAGTTTTTTGTTTATTGCACCATTCAAAATAAATGTTTATTGAGTACCTGCTATGTGCCAGACCTGAATCCAGGTGCTGGGAATTCCATCAGTGAACAAATCATATTCCAGCTGGTGGGGACTGGCCAGGGGAAGCCTGTTTGGAAGCCAGGGAGCAAATAAAATAAGTAGAGTTATATCATTTAATAACAAGATGAGTTCTGAGATGTGACCTTAGGCAATTTCATCATCATGAGATTATCATAGAATACACTTACACAAACTTGATGATCTTTTTCCACTACATGCCTGCACCGTGTGGTCTGTACATGATATGGCCTTCTGCTCCCAGAGCCACAATGAGCAAAGCAACAAAGATTAAGTCCACAGGAAAAAAGAAATGATGTAATCAAAAGACATGGTAAACACATGACATATGAAGCAGCTGCCATCATCAAACAGAACACTCTTTACAGGAAAGTTTTTATTTATTAATAAGTGGAAGAAATATACTCCAAAATAATGATTATCGTATCATGGGGCTGGGGTTGTGGCTCATTGGTAGAGCGCTTGCCTTGCACATGGGAGGCACTGAGTTCGATCCTCAGCATCACATAAAAATAAATGAGTACAATAAAGGTTAAAAAAAGAATGCTAAGAAAAGTATAGTATAGTAAAATACATGCAGCAGTAACATAGCCATTCATTACCATCACCAAATATTAGGCACTGCATATAGTTGTATGTCTTGCAGCTTTAAAAACTGCAGTGCAATGGGTTTGTTTACACCAGCAGACAGTTGAGCAGGGTGTTGCACCAGATTATTACAACTGCCACATTTTCACCAGGTGGTAGGAATTTATCAATCCCGTTATAAAATTGTGGAACCACCACCCTATGTACTCTTTCTTTAAAATTTAATATTTATCTTTTAGTTGTAGTTGGACACAATACCTTTACTTTTATGTGGTACTGAATGGAACCCAGGGCCTCACACGTGCTAGGCAAGTGCTCTGCCACTGAGCCACAACCCCAGCCCCTCCTATGTACTCTTGTCATGTGACACATCACTGTAGATAAATAGCACCTCAAAGGGATAAAGATGCTCTAGAGAAAAATGAAACAGTGATCCCGGTGGTGTCATGTGAGCCGAGCCACCTGAGTGGACATATGCTGCAGGCTGATCCAGGTGGAGGAGGGGAAGGTCAGAACACATCCTCAGGAACTCACGGGCCATGATGGAGACAATGTGTCTTACCTTGATTGAAATGGGAGGCAAGGGCACTTAAAGGCCAACCTGCAAGTGAGTAAGGCTGGCAGGAGCATCAGGTAGAGGCCAGGAGTCTCTGATGTGGTGGAGGGGTGAGAAGTGACATGGCACAGTACCCTGCATCTGCCTCCTTCCCTATAATGTGGCAGAGAGCAGCTGCCCAGCAAATATCTGTTGATCTCAGATCTGCAAACCACATGGATAGAATGATGAGTGGTTGCTGGGGTCTATCAGGAGAATGGGGAGGGATAGATGAGGAGACTGTTCTGGGACTAGACAGTGGGGATGGCTGCACAACGTTGAACATGCACTCAATTGCACTGAACTGAACATTTCAAAATGAGTAAACCACTCAATTTTATTTAAAATTAATCATAAGCAAATAAAAAATAAACAACTAAAATGAGTAGGAAAATAAGTGAAATGGGTAAGGGAGGTGAAGGCTGCTCTGGGCATAGCAGGTCAAGGTGGAGCTCAGGAGCTGGCCCTGGCTGTGGATCCTCTGGGAGCTCAGACCTGGAGCTGGTGGTGGAGGGGTTTCTGGCAGAGACTCTCCCTCTGGTGTTTAAGGTGGTGATGGAGCCACTGTTGGAACTTCCACAACTGCTGGAGGTGGCCCTGCAACTGCAAGAGGAGACAAGATCACAAATGTCCATGTTCGTTCCAGGCACAAGATACTGTCCACTGACTTTCAGAGAGAACTCCACACAAAAACTCAGCATGAGGAAGTGTTCCCAGACTGTATCAACCACTGATTGCCCCGTTTCTCATTGTTCCTCCCCCACTGCAGCTTCTAGAAGCTCTGTTCTGTGTGTCCAGCCCCAACTCCTCCCCACATGCTCACAGGCCCCCACCCCAGTCCTATCATCTTCAGAATCTGCCTCAGTGGACTCTGGGTGCTCCAGGAGTTCCAGGAGAAGGTGGTTTTGAGTCCCACAGGTGGGCCTGGCATGTTGAGCTGGTTGATGTCCTGTTGTGTGGACATGAGCCTAGGGGAACGTGGGTG